CTCTCTCTCTCTCTCTCTCTCTCTCTCTCTCTCTCTCTCTCTCTCCTCTGTCACTCTTTAAATTGCTTCTGTGCCATGTTGAATAAATGTTTAACCTGAGATTCTTATTAGGATTTCTTATTTGGGACTCTCTTGAGATTATTTGTAAATACAGGTTGAATATACCCAATCTTAAATCCAAATTGCTCCAAAATCTGAAACCTTTTGAGTGTTGACATGATGATCACAAATGGAAAATTCCACATCTGATCTTACACAACAGGTGTGGTAAAAACAGTTGCACTAAAACTATTGTATAAGATTAACTTCAGGCTATGTGTAGAAGGTGTATGTGAAACAAATAAATTTCATGTTTGGATCCCATTCAAGAGATCCCATTATTTATATGCAAATATTTTGTTCCCCAGGCATTTTAGAAAAGGGATACTTAATCTGTATTTGTTATTATATATTTGTGCATTGGGGGAAGTTCCACTATTGTCAGATTCTTCCAGAGATCTGTGACTTAAAACAAAGAATCTCTTTTACAATTCAAATTGTTCAGGCTCCTGAACTCCAGTAACAGGTAATTTATTCCCTTTAGGGACATCACCTAGTTTTCAGGAAGAGTTAACTTAGAGTGAGGTGAACTCTCACCCTTTGTTCTACCTCTAGAACCACAACAGGGAGGCTAATCCTTGTTTTGAGTACAAATACTTGAAGTGTGCTAGAGAACTCTCAAATTATTTAGGAATACTGACATAAAAGTCAGATGTTCTGTGTTCTTTATTCCTCATATGTTACTCTTCCAGGTCATGTATTAACCAGGTCTTTCTCTTTAAAGTATAGTGTCCCACTGAACTTTTAATATGGTCTGGCCACTTTAGAACTTTATTTATTTATGTATTTTTAAAAAAATTATTTTGCAGTCCTGGGGATTGAACCCAGGAATGCTCTACCATTGAACCACACCCCAACCCCTTTTTGTTTTTATTTTGACACAGGGTCTTGCTAAATTGCCCAGACTGACCTTCAAACTTTGATCCTCCTGCCTCAGTCCCCAGAATTATGACTAGGCAAGTCTCTAGGATTGTGAGTGTTTGTTACCGAATCTGCCAGTTTAGAACTTTTTTTTTTTTTTAGAGAGAGAGAGAGAGAGAGAGAGAGATTTTTTTTTTTTTTTTTAGTATTTATTTTTTGGTTTTCGGTGGCACAACATCTTTATTTTATTTTTATGTGGTGCTGAGGATCGAACCAGCGCCCTGTGCATGCCAGGTGAGCACGTTACCGCTTGAGCCACATCCCTAGAACTTTTAATTTCTTTTTTATATATGCTGTTATTGCTAATTAACATGCCTTAAGATTTCATTAACTTAAAAATGCATTTTAATTACAAAATATTTCAAACAAATAGGAAAATTCTGAAAATAATATTAGACATTGCCTGGTGTCTATCTTTGAGATTAAGTATTAACTTTTTGTCATATTTACTTCTTTCTTTTTACTTAAGAAATTAGTGCTAGGATCTGTTGTGATGGCACATGCTTATAATCCCAGGTAGTAGAGAGGCTGAGGCTGGAGGATCACAATTTTGAGGCTAACCTCAGCAATTTATAAAGACCCTAAGCAACTTAGTGAGACCTTGTCTGAAAATAAATTTAAAAAAAAAAAAAAGGGCTGAGGATGAAGTTCAATGGTAAAGTATCCCTGGGTTCAATCTCCAGTACCAAAGACAAAGAACAAATTGGGGATGTGGCCCAGTTCTTGTCTAGTATGTGCAAGGGCTTGTGTTCCATCCCCAGCACCACAAAGAAAGAAAAGAAAGAAAGAAAGAAAATATCCAGAACATGTAAAGCCATTTACTACCTCTCAAGACTTTCCCCACCCTTCATATCTGTGTTTATTGACTTTTTCAGGCAGTCCTCTCATACTGTGGACTTGAAATTATGGTCAGTCCAGAATCTCTTACTTGTACCTGTTAAAGACCCACTCTCCCATCAGGGTGCCCTGCTAGAAGACTTGAAACCTAGATATTTACTGGTTAGCTAGAGAGTGTTATAATAATAATTGGCTAATGTTTATTGAGCTGTTACTATGTGCCACACAAATTTTATTCTAATATGTATTAAATATCCAATAGCCCTTTAAAGAAGCCAATGTTGTCTTTTCTGTTTTATGGATGAAGAAACAGAAGCCCAGAGAAGGTAGCTAATTGCCTAACCTCCAATAGTTATTAGGTGGCAGAGCTGGGTTTTGACCCTTGCTCTCTTAACCCTGTTGTGTTACTTATCCTTAAGGTAGTGGACCACAAAGGAGTACTAAGCACAGGTTGTCTGGATCCAGCTGAAAGGTGAACTAACCCACTGTCGTGTGATGGATGCACAGTGGAAATGCCTATCCCGCTGAACACATTCAGTCTAGTGGAGAGCAGGTGCACTAAAGACAGACAACCCAGAGTCTGTCAAGTAATCCCAAGTAAATTTTGGGTATTTAGTGATGTGGAAGTGTTTTTTGAAAGAAGGGTTTTCAGAAAAGAAGGGAAAAGTGGTTTGTAAGGTATGATGTTTTCTAAGGGCAGATTTGGATTAGTGGGGAGAACGTTCAGAGGGGAAAAGATAAAAGCCAGGACTTGTGTGTGGAATGACAAGAACAGTCAGCCAGGGCAGGTGCTGGCCAGAAGCTGGGCCATATTCAGTAGGGGGTGGTCAGAAGCACAGCTGTGACTTGACCAAAGCGATATTTTTAGAATACTATTTAACAGGGAGGGAGAGGAGATAATATTGGGTGTTAGAGTAGCCAAATTACTAATAATAATAGGTATCAATTGACTTCTTATTGTTTGCCAGAGGCTGTGCTAAGCTCTTTAAATCACCGCCTCAGCGTTTCAGTTTGTATTGAGTTAGAAACCATTCCAAAACTTAGTGACCTGAACTCCGGGAGTTTGGTTATTCAACCTGTGAGTGTATTTTTTTTTTTTTCCAATTGTTCTTCTTTTCCTTTTTTTTTTCTTTTTCTTTTTGGTGCTAGGGATTCAACTCAGGGCCTTATATAAGCTAGGAAAGCACTGTACCACTGGGCTACATCCCCAGCCCATTTTATTTTGAGTCATGGTCTTACTAAGTTGCCCAGGCTGGTCTTGAGTTTGTGATTCTCCTGCCTTAGCCCCTTGCATAGCTGGGATTACAGGGATGCCCTCCTGTGAGTTTAGTTGGTACGAATGAACTCTTGAGAAATGGTAAATTTTATGTTATGTATATTTGCCCCAATATAAGATATCCAAACTTAGTGACATAAAGTAATAGTTGTTTTTTAGTTCACAGATCTCTTGGCCAGCTGGGATTCTTCTGGCCTGGACCAGATTGGCTGTTTTCCCCAGAGCGTCCCAACTGACCGGTCAGCTTGTGGCTGGGTGGTTGGGTGGCTAGCAGGCTGTATCCAGAGTGTCAGGGGATCAAATCTCATCATCTAGCAGGCTCGTCCTGGAACCTCCACGTGGACACTGCAAGAGAGCAGATCCTGGTGCTTACACAGGACTATGTTTGAGTCATATTTGTTACTGTCCATTTACTCCAAAGAAGTCACAATGGGCACCCAGATTCAAGGAAGTAGAGATTCCTCTCCTGATGGAAAGAGCCACACATTTTTATAGCCATTTTTTAAACTTAGTATACTTAGTCAATCTTGACAACAACTTCTAAGAAAGAAATACTATTATCACTGCCTTTTACACATTAAAAAACATGGCAGAAAATAATTCAGTGGCTTTTCCAGGGGCCCACAGCTTCTAAATGGTGTTCAAGGATGCCTGGCCAGGCTTGTCTGAACACATCTGCACTTCCAGCCTGGAGGTGGCTCAGATTAAAGAGCTCAAGCATTGTGTGATCCCAGACATTGTGTGATCAGATGTCCATTTTGTTGCATGCAACTATGGCACATCAAAGGTGATCTGCAACACATAGTTTCTTTCTTCCCTTTCTGCACCTTCATACAAGTCTGCCATCCATTCATTTAACAAATACTTGGACCACCAGCTGCATACCAGATGTTGTTCTGGTGCTGAAGATTAAACAGTGGACAAGGTAGCAGAAGACCTGACTTTTGTGGGGGAGAGAGACAAGTAAAGCCAATGCACACTATTTCAGGTAGAAGGAAATTCTATAAAGAAATTAATAGCAGGGCAAGGGATCTGAGTGTCTGAGTGAGGTCTGGTAAAGGTAAACCTGTAGGGCTGTGATTAGGGGCCAGGGACTCTTCTCTTTATAAATTGAGGCTACTGGAGAAAATGGTAGTGTTGGTTACCTCTGGGATGGGAGGTAACCAACCCCATCATGGTAAAGGGATGGAGAAAGACTTCACAGCCTGACCTTCGAATTTTTTAAACAGTGAGACTTGCGCTATTCCTGATGTAGGACAGATGAGGCGGGCACCTGAGGAATTATCAGGAGGGTCACTTTGGTGGGGTTCCTCCTTCTAGCTCTAACATTCAAATTAATATGGTACAGTATTTGTTTTGTTGTTTTCTGAGCACTTTTTTATATACCCCTGCAAGCCTTTTTTTTTTTTTTTTAAAAGAAATAATCAAGTGTTTAACTAGAGGGAACTAGTAGGGAAATACATTTCCCTTCACTTGATATTCTTAATTCTTAAGTAACACAAAAGCTGAGGGGGGGGGTGGGAATGTATGCTTAGTTGATATTGAATGCTTATTATTTCTGTCATAGAAATTCAGGGTACAGGGACCTGAGGGTGTAGCTCAGTAGTAGCCTAGTATGTGAAAGGTACTGCTTTCAATCCCCAGTACCCCTCACCCCCACCCCACCCCACCCCACCCCCACACACAAAAGAAGAAGAAATTCAGGGATCAGCAAATTTGGCTTATATTTTTATGAACATATCAGTAAATCTAGGGACATTCTGCCACATGTAAGTTGTGTGGCATTATTCAGAGGTCACAAAATGGAATAAGCAGGATTTCTCTCCCTTTCACTATGCACAATGTATAATTCATACTTCCACTTAAGGATCATATGATTTTAGGCAATTCTAGGCAAAAGCATAAAGTTGGAAAATCATTTTCACTCTTTCTGTATCCTCTCATTTGGGTATAGTCAGTGCATGGGTTGACACTCCATTCAAGTTTTCTAGAAGTTTCTGAGTGGATGTTCTGAATACTATCTGACTTTCCTCAAAATACAGCATGTATATAGCTTAATAATGGGCATGTGTTCTGAGAAATGCATTGTGGGTCACTTCAGCATTGTGGAGACATCACCAAATGTATAAGCAGGGCTTTTGTAACCAGAGATCTGACTTCTATCAAGTCTAAAGCATATTATTTAGACTAACATCTTGTTTGGGGAGAGTCAAACCCAGAGCCTCACACTGCTAGTGGAGTGCTCCATCACTGAGCTACACCCCCAGCCCTGGACCAGTATCTGAAGTCTCTTGATTAGGTCTAGTTCCTGGCTCAATAGTACTGTTAGCTGGACAACCTTTAGTAAGCTAACCTCTGGGCCACAGTTCCATCTATAAGACAGATCACAGTCAAAACATCTTCATCAAAGTTTCTCAATTCCAGGTTTTTCTCAAATCACTTGGAACAAAACCTGATTTGACTCTAAGTTGAAACCCTCTTGGTTTAAATATTCTAATGTTTTGCTAAAGAAATACTAATGATCCATCAACAGATCAGTACATCCCACTGTTAGGACTCTATATGTACCTTATTGTCTGTTTTCTGGACATGAAAAATTCTGAATTCTGCTAGTTATCTGGCCATGGAGGTTTCATGTGGATTGAGGTCTGTAATATATTCCTGAAGGTTTAGTAAAGACTATGGTACATATTGTGGTTGGAGTGCAGTGTGTGTATAATGAATGGTGGTCATTGCTTTTGTGTCTAAATCCAGTTTTTAAGTGTGTTGAGTTTTGTGCTTTTTGTGTTTTTCCCTCCTGAGCAAACCTGTTTTAATAAAAACCAGGAAGGCTGCAGGGTGGGCTGGTAGTTGTCCTACAGTTCTGGGAGTTCAGTCTTGTACTTGGAGCCACTCTACACCCTTCCTCTCATTGTCAGTGAGCCTTGTTTTCTCATTTGAGCCCTGTTTTGTCACCTGGGATGTGCACTTCATCTCAGACAGCTGTAGAAAACAGCGGACACCCTAGGGACAGGCTCATGGGACTCAAGCTGTGGAAGCTGTTTTCCACATGTGCCTTACCTTCCTGTGTAGTAGTATTCCTTAATTTGAAGGAACTGTTGTTCAAGGTGAGGTACTTAAATGGGTGACAGGAAAAGTGATGTGTGAAGGAGCCAGGGAAGGAAATTCTGTAGCTTGCCCCTTTTATATAGGGGCACAAAAAATGTATGCTTATTACTATTGCATGCCTATTATTGTGTTGGGAAAGGGGCAGTGTGTTCTCTGAGATGGCTGCTCTTCAGGTCCCTATTGATACACCTTTGCATTCACTGAAATGCCTGGTGAGACATCAGCCTCCAAGCCACTTGTTTGACCTGAAGATGAAAACATTGGGCAGCACAGCGCTGTGCAGGGAGTCCCTGTGGCTTGATGACAGTGAGTCAAGTCAACAACTGCCCTGGCTGTCCTCACAGAGCCATTATAGGGTTTCTTTTTATGAACTCTGTTTTTCCCCATTATGAAAGGGAAGGAATTGTGAATTGTTTTAAAATAGTCTAGGATTGTATTATTTATTCATCTGACCATTCCTGGATATTTTTATGTGCCACACACTGTACTGTACTTACATATGGTCACCACTAAACATTAGCTTTTATTAATATTTTTTTACTGGAAATGGCCATAAAACCAAATTCTCAAGATTATGTAATTTTTTAAAGCTTTACTCTTTAGACAAAAATAGTATGTAACCATGTTAGGAAATACACACAAATAAAAAAGAATGTGGTTCACCTGGACCCCACCAAGTTCCAAGTTTCACTAACATCCCAGAGTGACTTTATGGGATTTCCTACTAGTAGGTACGCTGTATTTAAATAAAATAAAATAAATAAACCAAAACCCACTTTCTTGCTATTAGATATTTCAAATGTTTCCCATTTCTCAAGAAGAGTGGGGAGACTATGTGCGGGGTGGGGGTGGGTTATGGGAATTCTGGACTTTCTGCTCAGTTCTTTGTGAACCTAAAACTGCTAAAAGAAAAAGTTTATATAAAAAATGTGCACAAACTGCAATTCTTTCTGATATACTTGCATTGTAAATGCGCTCCCCTTCAAAAAAGCAGTCCTTGCTCTTCTTAAGGGAGTGTGTAACGCTCGGGAAACAGCTTTCTTCATTTTACTCATTTCAAAGAGAAGAGCAAGAAATCTTAAAAGGCACAGCCAGCTTTCCAGAGGCCAGCAGAGGCGTAACAGGTGTTAATGGAGCTCGGGAGCGGACTTAGTGGTTGAAGTGGTAGAGGAGGACTTTTTTCAGAAAAACGATTGCAGTGGGGGGAGGAGACAACCCAGCGCAGTTCCAATTACGCACAAGAAAAAGTGGTGCGCAAACGACCGACAGAATAGTGGGCCGGGTGGGGAGATTCTGGCCAAAGTGGGCAGACCCGACATGTGCTGAAGGCGGGCCGGGGCGACCAGGTGTGTCGGTTGGGGGGTTCTGGCTAAAAGGAGCGATGCCAAGACAGACACGTCAGAAAGGCCAGGTCTGGTCGGGAAGCGGATTCGGCGGGGCCTGAGTGATGCTCGGTCCAAGTGAGACTCACCCTCACCGGGAGTAAGAGCAGGCCTGTCCGAGGGGGACCACCGCACTGTGGGTTCCGGAGAGAGCGGGAGGCTGGCAGGACCCGGACGGGGTTGGGGCTGGGGGCGGGGCCGCGGCGCCACTTGCGGCTCCGGGGCGGGGACGGGGCGGGGCGCCACGTGCGGGGCGGGGTGGCCCGCTGGAGCCCTGCTCCGCCTGCGCAACTGGGGTTGGGGTGCAGGGAGCACCTGCCGCGCCCCTCGGTGGGCGCCTCCCAGCTCCGTTGGGGCCTATGGAGGGAAGACTCTCGTGCACCCGCGTTTCCAATGGCCGCAGCCGCCTGCAGCACCAAGGCTATGTCCCTCTTCAAGCGCACCTTGGTGCTGAGCCCTGCCGCGGCGCCCAGGGGCCCTGGCGCTGGCATCTCTCGCAGCTGCCCCTTACCTCCAGCCCCCTGGCCTCCCAAAGATGGGCCTCGGCTGCGGTGCCC